CTCTCTTGCTCTCTCTCTCTCTCTCTCTCTCATCTCTCTCTGGTCAAGTTAAAATGAATAAATAAAATAAAATAATTAATTTTAAAAAGACTTCTAAAAAAATACATGTAGAAATTTTTATATGGTTTGTTTTATAATCAGTTTTGTTGTAGGGAAGACAGACCATTTTCATCGATGGTTACTGCCACAAACTATGATGATAAAATGAAAATTAAATTATAAAATAGGTGTTATAGTACCACAAAAAGGTGATGCTTAGAAAACGAATGAGTCATGACATGACAAATACATGAAGCTTTAATCACATGCATTTATGTAGGTCTCACAAATGTTACTTGTCTTCAGGCCAAGGGATTTAATTAGATAAAGCAATCTATTGTTTCGGTCCTTAAGCCTTTCTTTTAACATTAGCATATAATCAGTGCATCATGATTTCCTTCCAAAATTAAAAACTATGTTATGAGATCAGCAGGTGACATGGTGGTTAGAGGTGCTGGATTCCTACATGACCGACCACAGTTCAGGTCCTGGGCCTGGCAGCTTGCTTTCTCGCTTTCCCTTTCTCTTTCTCTGGTCAAATTAAATATGATAACAAATGGAATTAAATAAATTTTTTAAAAATTGTTACACTTTGTTCTGAATAAATAAACCCTAGTAGACTCCCACGTGGCTGACCACAGTTCAAGTTCTGGACCTGGCAGCTTGCTTCCTCACTTTCCCTCTCTGTCTCTCTCTGTTTATCTTAAAAAAGTAATAAATAACTCTATAAAGGGGAAGGCAGGTGGTGTGGCAGTTCAGGGTGCTGGACTCATACATGGCAGACCATGGTTCAAGTCCTGGACATGTCAACTCTCTCTCTCTCTCTCTCTGTCCCTCTCTAGTCAAGTTAAAATAATATATATTTTTTTAATGTGGGGGCCAGCAGATGGTATGGTGGTTAAAGTGCTAGACTCCCACATGGGTGATGTAGTTTGTGTCCCCAACCTGGCAGCTTGCTTTCTCACTTTCCCTTTCTCTCTCTGGTCAAATTAAATAATAATAATAAATAAAATAACATAATTAAAAAGATTTTAAAATAACCTTTTAAAGTATTTTTTTTTAAATGAGCATGTGATGACATCTCCATGTCTACATTACTAAGCTTTTAGAAATGGGCTAAGCCCAGACCAGCAGATGGCATAATGTTTACATTGCTGGACTCCCACGTAGTCAATCACAGTTCAATTCCCAGACCCGGCAGCTTAAAATTCATTCTGGGTACATGTGCACGTGTGCTCAAATTCCAAGAGGAGAATGGAGGAGAAGGGATTGTGGCATGGCCATCCCCCATGGGAGATGATTTCTCACTTTCTGTCTCTCTATCTCTCCGGCAAGCGCATGCACCCTATAGCAAGACTCTCTTAAAAAGGGCCGACAGGTGGCACAGTGGTTAAGGGCGCGAGACTCCTGTGTTGCTGATCGTGGTTCAAATCTCAGACCTAGTGGCTTGCTTTCTCACTTTCCCTTTCTCTTTCTTTCTCTCACTGTCCCTCTCTAGTCAAATTAAAATAAATAAAGTTCAATAAAACAATTCTTTTTCTTAAGTTTTTTTTTAAAAAAGAATTATTATATTGAACTTTATTTTATTTATTCATTTAATTTCATTTGACCAGAGAGGGACAGAGAGAGAGAGAGGGAAAGTGAGAAAGCAACCCAACAGGTCCAGGACTCAAACCGTGGTTGACCATGTGGGAGTCCAGGGCCCTTAACCACCGCGCCACCTGCCGGCCCCAAATAAAATAATTCTTTTTAAAAAAGTAAGAAATGGACTAAGCCAGTGAGTGAGTCTCCTGACGCTGAGTGGTCACCCTCAATCCCAGCTGTACAGTAGAACCTACTGGGGATCCAGGTGCTGCTTAAGCCTGGCCCCACCCAAAAATACTAATGTAACTGAGGTGTAGCCCAGGTCTGAACTGTTCAACACTCCAGAGTCTTTTTTTATTTTTATTTTTTTGGAGAGGTTTTTGCTATAGGGTGCGTGCACTTACCAGAAAGACAGAGACAGAGAGATAGAAAGCGAGAAATCACCCCCCAGGGAGGATGGCCACACCACAGTCCCTTCTCCTCCATTCTCCTCTTGGGATCTTGGGCATGCACGCACAGGAGCCCGGTGTGAGTTTAAGCCACCAGGTCGAACCACAGTCAACTACATGGGAGTCCAGCGACATAGCCATTACGCTAACTGCTGGTCCCCTTTTATTTTTTTAAGAGTTATTTATTTATTTAATTCCATTTGTCTTCATTATTTTTTAATTTGACCAGAGAGAGACAGAGAGAGGGAAAGCGAGGAAGCAAGCCACCAGGTCTAGGACTCGAACCACCGTCAGCCATGTAGAAATCCAGCACTTCTAATCACCATGCCACTTGCAGCCCCCAGAGTCATTCTTATAGTGGTCTGTTAGACTGAGAACTGGGACTGCAGAAGGAGGTGGGTGTGAAAAGTCTAGAGATTTGTTCAGGCAAGATGCTCAGCCCAGGCATTTAGCTGCTTTCTTAGTAAAATGAGAGGATTAGACTGCATGCTTTTGTTTTTTCTTAAGAATTATTTATTCAACTTTATTTATTCACTTTTTTTTTTATTATTATTTGACCAGAGAGGGATCGAGTGAGAGGCAAAGTGAGAAAGCAGGCCGCCATGTCCAGGACTCGAACCTCAGTCAAACCACAGTCTACCATGTGGGAGTCCAGCACCCCTAACCACCACACCTCCTGTCACTTTCCCGGCAACATGTGTTTTTAAGAACAAAATTAAGGGCAGGGGTCTCAGCACATGCTCAGTTCAGTAATT